ACATGATCCAACCATCTTTCCATCCATCAATGTGTATAATTGATTATAATTGCATATATAATTACATGTGTATATATATATATAGAATGGATATCTAGTAACCCCAAAACAATAGAACACATCAATTCCCACTATTTTATCGTTTTTTGTTCACAATGTTCCACCTTTGTGGGATTTTTACTAGATCCAAGGTTTATCTGAATCTCCTGGACGAAGCTCTGCAGAACGAGGGTGCCAGCATCTCCCACTTCAACCTGTCGCACAGCGGTCGTACGCTGATCTTGGCAGGAAATCGGCTGCTGCGCCTCTACTCGGTCGGTTTGGCTGCCACTGGCACGGTGGAACTTGACGACTTAGATCCGCAGCAGGTGGGGTGCTGGTTTGGGTATTCCAGCTGGGGAAAGCTTCCTTTCTGATTTTTTCTGGTGAATCTTTGCCAAATTGATAAAACATTGGGAGATAAAGCATTACTGGTAAGAAGACTGGGAGAAGCAATTAAGAAATAGAAAAAAAACATCAGAATAGACCAAACTACTGTTGAAGGGTAGTTTCATGGTGTAAATGCGCAGCATTTTTTTGGTCACAGGATCTATGGCCAGCCAAAGAACTCTCGGGTTCAGTTGAATAATATACATACATGCCCATTACGTATTCATACTAAATTCATACCCACCGCGTACGTCACATTCACACAGATTTGATACAGATATGAGTTTGTCTGAAAAAAGGGTACCCCCAACAATAATTAGATGATGATGATGATGATCATCATCATTTTGCCCCATTTCAATTTCGTGTCGACCCCCCCATTTTCAGACACACCTTGGTGGTGCCCCTTGGCTCGTTGCCAGGACTGCGAAGCTCACATCCTGGGCCGCGACCCCCACGGCACCGTCACAGCGGTGTGTGCCCTGCCTATGGATCCAGACAGCCGAAGTCCGGGTTTCCTGGACTGGATCTGGTTGGGCGTCAGTAGTGGCGACATGTTTGGCATCCTCTTGGAAGAGAGCCTTGGAGAATGCCCCGCGGGGGTTTTTAGTTGGGAACTCCGTATTTTTGATAAAGGACATCATCGGACGGACAATAACGAAAAACAGCGAAAGCCTTAGTAAACGAACCAGAACCATAGATAAAAAACATGTTTCTCAACAGGACCATGCTCGCCAAGCTCACCATCATTCACCATCAAATCCCACATCCAACCGATGCACATCAAGTTCTTCACGCAATTGCTCATTATTCATGTTTTTACTTAAGTACGCTATTATAATTATATATATACTAGTATGTATGTCGCGATTAGTGCGCATATTAATATGATCTAGTATGAATTGAATGTGGACTTTGGATGTTGCACCCCGTGCGTTGCCACTCTCAGGACCAATGGAACCATTTCAGTGGCGACTTCCTCCGGACGCTTCCGAAGGAATACCCATTCCCAAGGGGTGCCGATCCAAGCCCCTGGGCGGCGGGACTTCTTGGTGGGACGTTTTGGTGGGAAACTGCCATGGATTTTCGGGATGATCCAATGAAATTCCCCAAAATGGTGATCAGAACTTTGTAAAGTCGATGTATCTTGTGTTTGAAAATGATATATATATATATATATATACATTCTCGCGTTCCGTGTTCCTACCCCCTCCATGGTATGGGTCCCCAGGTAGCACCCCCTTCCCTTCTATTTGCAAGCTATTGGCAGCATTTCTGAGGTCCAGCCTCGTATTTGCTAGGTTTTTGCAACATTTCTGGCTACCAGCCTCGCATTTACTAGGTACATGCTACCTTTTAGACAACCTACGTAGCACACATACTCCCTCAAAGTACATACATACCATACATACCATACATACCATAGCTACCATACGGACCATACATACCAAAACCTACCATACATACCATGCCAACCATACATGCCTTACTCTGGTATACATCCCACACATACCATACCTACAACACATACCATACCCACCATACAAACCATAGATGCCACACAATTCAAACATACCATACCTACAACACATACAATACCAACCATACATGCCATACGTACCATACCTACCATACATTCCAATAATACCATACATATCATACATACCACACATACGATACATATGAAACATAATTACCACACCTACCATACATCCACACATACGATACCAAACATACATGCCATACATACCATACATATCATACCTAACATAGCAAACATTCCATGCCCATCATAGTAACCATACATACCGTACAGACCATACATACTGTCATATCAAACATACCATACCCAACATACTTACATACCACACCTACCATCCATACAATACCAACCATACATGCCATACATGCCATACGTGCCATACATACCAAACATACCATACATTTCAAACATGCCATACATACCATACCAACCATACATGCCAAACATACCATACATATCAAACATACCGTACATGAGATAATTACATACCATACTCACCATACTCACCATACTCATCAAACATATATATATATATTGTCATACACACACTATCCCCCCCCCGCACCACACCCCCCTCACCACACCACAGGGAGAAAAGGGGTTCAGTACCACACCCCCACCACACCACGAGGGGGAAGGGGACAGTACTATGGCTGACCCATGACCATGGCCGAGGGGGGTTGGAACGCTGGACCATATATATATATACATATATATATATATGTATGTATGTATGTATGTATGCATGTATGCATGTATGCATGTATGCATGTATGTATATATATATATACACACATATACACCCGAAATCGCTTCCTTTCAAAGGGGAAACTGTGCAAAGATGAAAATGATGATAAAAGCAGCCTGTTGTCAGACAAAACCATGTGGCCAAATGCGTAAGTGGGTAGTAACTGATGAAATATCCCAGTTATATAGGATTGTCCCAATAGTTGGCCAAATATCCCAGTGGTTAGTAAGTGAAATATCCGGCTGAAGTTGGGATCTCAGCCAAATACCACTTACTATCTTCAGTTGGATTGTCCCAAAAGGGTGTTTTTTTTGTGCACAACAGCTTGCTGAGGGTATTTGGAACCCTAGGCTTTGGCTTTTGTAGGGGCTTTGCATAGATTTGTCCTCCCAACCAACATCTATCATCTGTGATTTGAACATTTTGGAACGGAACATGTTACAACCATTGCCACATCATTGATGCAGCCGTATGCCCAGTCGTACCCGCATGTGCAAAGCATGTAGAGATCGCCTTGAGGCCATTGTGGCAGTTCATGAGCCGCTGGAAGGGGACCCCCGCAGTGGCCAAGTTGCGATGTAGCCCAAACGCCTCCAAAAAGCCGCTGGAAAATGCTGGAAGAATGGTGGAAAACCTTGGATGAAGCTAGGGTCTTCAAAGTCAAGATGACATCAGACGAAAGTTTTGGAATGGCCAATGCTTAATGAATTCTTCGTTGTTTTGCTGCGCTCAATTTTAGTTATCAGCAACTCCTTCAATTTTGGACAAAGTATGATGCATGGTGCCGGGTGACGCTTTGTTTTTTTCTTTGATGACGTCAATTCGGACAGCAGCAACTGGGTTTGTCAAAGTTAAATATTATTTTTTTGGTGAATAGTGGTTCCCACCCCTGCAAGGTATGTTTACAGGGGACGTATTATTTGTTTGGTGGTTTCAGATGCTGATCTTCCTCAGATGATGATACAAAATGATACAAATTGACAAAGTGTTGTTGCGCTGAAACCACCCAGTGAAAAGAAAGAAACCTGCCGTAAGACCTCCATAAGTGGTTCCGAAGTGCTTGAGGTTTGCATCACAGTCTCACCATGAGAAAACCCATGATGAATCCGAACGCCGTCCTGTCCATCAGTGCTGATGCTTGGCAGTTTGTGGGGTTTAGCAAAAAGCATAGGCTGTCGGAAATTTGGGGATAAGTTAAAATCCGATTATCACCATATTTGGGGGAATCACAATCCATTCACCAGCTATTTTAGGTTACCATCCGGGTACCAGGGTTTTGACCCATAACTATGTGCAAGTGCTCTGATGAGACCTGCGACTTTTTGGTGATCTTGCAGAAGATGCGGGGTCATTTTACATCCCGGTCGTAGGTGCCATTTGCACTCCTGATTTCCTGATAAGCAACACCTTTCTTATCCTTTCTTCCTGTCAACCTTATACGTTCTGGACTGCATCCCTAAGGTTGAAAAGGAAACTGGGTATACAAATTTAGCAAGCGCAACAATCCTGGTATCACATGAAGCCCAGAAATTTAACCGGATTCTGTTCTTCAAAGAGTAAAGTCCCGTTATATCCTCTTCCTGCCTGTATTTTGGGGCCCATCAGCTTGCTTACTGATATACATATATACATATACATACATAGAGAGAGAGAGAGATAGATAGATAGATATATATATATATATATTTACACATACACTGTATAGTCCTGTTCTCGTGTAGTTCAGCCAAGTTTGTTTGATGGTCAACTCCAGGTTGGCGATGGTTCTGCCAAGTCAAACCATCAGTTTTGATGGATACATCCCCACGTTTGATGGATACCCTCAGAAAATCAAGCGTAGCAATTGGAGAGTGAGAGAGAGAGAGAGAGAAACATTGGAAATCATTGGTAAATGGAGGTTTTACTGGGAGCACCATCCAAGTATAAATGGTGGATTTTCCATTGAATCATGGCCACGTTTGATCACCGGAGGGGATATGGCATTATACTTTATTTGTAGGTGATATTCAATGAAACACATGTTTGCTTGCATATTCCACATGTAGCTTACCCTCAGGTAAACATACAAAAAACTATGGAACATCACCATTTTATAGTTGGGTATATGAATCTATGGCCATAGCTTCAATAGCTATGTAACAAATGACCAGAGGGTATAACCATAGAAATAGTTGATTTCCCTATGAAAAATGGTGATTTTCCATAGTAAACTATAGTTTACCGGAGGGTATATACCAGAGGGTAAAAAAAAAAAAAAAAACTGGTATCGTTACAATGACGTCATGGGAGTTGAGCCCAGTGTCGCCTGAAACCGTTGCTGTCTCCACAGGCTTGTTGCTTCATGGAGGCTTCACCACTCAGAAAAGTTTCCCCAAGTTGTGGTTTAAAATATGTCAAAATAATGTTTGGAACATAGAATGTTTGGATTTAGATTGTTTTAGACCTCGAATCGTTCTCATACGCACACATATGATATATTATATATTATATATTTATATACACATAATTTTCAATACCCCAAAAGGAGTGATCATTGGGGATGTTTTATCATATTCTCCTTATATCCCATATTGGTGTTGTACCTCAATAATTGTCAATAATGCACCATTGATGCTGTTGTATCCCCATTTTTTCTTATGTTGTAAATGCAAACCTTCCCAAAGCATCCCAAAGCTGGTTTACTTGAAAGAATCTCAATTTTTGATGGTTAAATCCCCTTTTTGATGGTTAAATCCCCTTTTCGATGGTTAAATCTCCATATTATCCCCATGTTTGACGCTAAAATCCCAGTAAGACACCCCTACAATCCCCACATTTTTCTTGGCTTTGCCAGAAAACCAGGATGGAAAGCTCCTCCACAGTGAGCGGCGCTCGCACCAATGGCAGCCTGTGGCGGAGTGTGGAAACCAAGGGGGAGCAAGAAAGGGGAGATCCTGGGGATATATTTATATATATATATACAAAGGCAATTATATTTATATGATTTTATATCTGATAACATGTATATATATATATATTAAAAGATCAGTAAATAAATACATCAATAAATCAATAAATAGATAGATAGATAGATAGATAGATAAATCAGCGATCCAAAACAGGTAGAAAAATATGAAACAAGAATAAACCCACATGTTGGGTGGTTTATTAATGTGGATCCCCATTAGGAACTTATTTTTCAAAGCCACACATAACTGACATATTGTATTCCATGAGTTGTATAGGCCAGATGATGTAATCCTGACTGACTTGAGTTTGATCTTTCAATTACTCTGGATGATAGACATCTCTTTAATTTACATATATACCCCTCCCAGTCATAGTTATAACATGTTATAACTCACACCCCAACTTCTATCACCAATACGCATTCATTTTCCTTCTCCCACCAAGGTGGCAAGTTCCCTTATCCCTGGAGGCCTTACGCTGCGGCTTTGCTGCCCGCTGCTCCGCACTGATTCCACAGGTGCTGCTACTGGCGGACGAAGGCCGACAGTGTTTGATCGCGTATGATCAACGACAGCCGGTGAACTCGGGCATGTCCATGTGCTCCTTCGTGTGACGCCGTAAAGCTTTTTGTGGTGGAACAGATGTGCAACAAAAGAGAGAACCAACGTATGCAAAACCAAGATAAAAAGAACAAGGGCATAGATTATGGGAGACTGCTCGGCCAGAGGCCGAAATGGATGGTGTTTTTTCAACGGAGGCAATGTCAAAGATGGAAAATGATGGCCATGTTTTTTTATTCCTCCAGCTTGGTTGAAGCATGTTGACATGTGGAACACGTCACCATTGTGTTTTCTGGCCATCACGACCTCCAGTTCGCTGCAGAAAATTCGAGAGTCAATTCATGTTTGATTTGCAACTGCACACGGCGATCTCGTCGTAATTCAGATGTGCAGCACAGGACTTTAGGGTTTCGCATCTACCGCGTTGCCGTGAAAAAGTCGCTTAGTCCGAGGATTGAGCCGCGGAAAGAATCACTGAAAAGCCATGAATTCATGCATGACCTGTACGCGGTTCTGTCCTGGCATTGGGAAATCACAGGAAATCACCAAAAAAGTTAAGTCATGTTAAGTCGCTGCTAACATACCATGTTCACGCATATATGATCGACGGAGAGAATTGATTCAATCTAATTATTAGATAGATTAGAATATGTTGCAAACATATTTTTGGATATTAAGTCCCACCTGAAATCCCTCAGTTTTTGTTTCCCTTGTATATGTTTGATATACCCAATTTCTTGTCGTTTCTATCGTGATATCCATCTTGGTTGCTAAGAGAAAAGCGCCCAGATTTTCCCCACAGCCAGGCCAACTCCCACTTGAAGCTCCTCTCTCTGGATCTGCGTGCTGGTGCTGGGGCCGCAGATGTGAACCTGCTAGTCCCTTGATCTGGAAGATTGGGAGGATCCCTCGGACACTTCTGGGATGTTTTTATTTTTGTTGGGGGTGGGTTGGGTTTCAACTTGAGAGGTTCTTCATTTATGCTAATATTTTGTTTTGTATGTATATATATATATAGTTATATATATATATATTGATATATATATATTATAGTTCTGGAATCTGGGAAATCTCTACAAATAGAGGATTGTCCAGCAAGCCATGTCTCATAACCAGAGGGTACACAATCATTTTCTTGATGTAGCTGGAACAACTCAAATTCATCCTCGATCATGGACAATCACTGACCATTTTTAAGAGCTAAATGTCAACTATAAATGGGCCATGTTCAATAGAAAATTGTTAAATTACTTGGTGGTAACAGTCTCCAG